AGATCAACATATAAAGTAATGAATCTTCAACAGTTGAGGTGGTTGGGACATGAGTTACGTATGCCCAATCACCGACTGCGTTGGTGAGCCATATTTTGTGGTGTAGGGTAGGTTGGAAGAAAGTTAGGGGCGGTCAAACCAAAACATGGCAGAAATCCATGAAGTCATCGACAAGTGGACTTAGTCATGTCGGTAGGTGTCGACTACCTGGTTGAGGTGCGCAAGATGATAATAATCGATGGTTTGAGACCTTGAACTACATGGCTCAAAATCGTTCGCAATGGCGCAGGTGCATCCACTCTTTGTGTTCTCTCTAATTCTAACCTCCTGAATTGGTTATCACCTATACCTTTCTCTTTTTAAATTTATTTCACTAGATTCTACTTCTTGAATAATATCTATGAACCATAATCTTCTCCAATAGCGCTTATACTTCTACTATCTATACCACAGTGTGGGATTTGAACAGATAATCACATCTCTGCGCTAATGAGTTATGGCAACTTGAACTGATGTACTTACGTACAAAGTTCTACGTTGTTGTTGCTGACTAACCGACTGAGATGATATGCAAGAAATTAAGATACAGAAATGATCCATTAACTCTTCACAATCTATTCTTACTTTTTTCTTTGGAGAGTAAAATTTTATCGCTTGTATTAATAAAAATAATAATAATAATAATAATAATAATAATAATAATAATAAATACAATGTTCATTATGTAAGTCAAAGTTACAAAAAAGTGATTCTTACACATCACATCAATCAATTAATGTTAGACCATCATTAGAAACCTGGAAGCACTGGACGGCCGTTTCGTCCTGGTTTGGGAGTCATCAACAGTGCTCATCCATAAGTTAGGCGTTTTCGCATCACATCGGAGGTCCAGGGTTCGAATCCTACGAGGTCCAGGAGTCTTGGATGCACACTGTCACTGGTGAGTCCCATACCGTGACGAAACGGCGGTCTTTCATTGCTTCTTTCAGGTTTCTAATGGTGGTCTAACAATGATTGATTGATTGATGATTTCAAATGTGTAAAAAATACTAATCTCTATAACTCTAATTGAGAAGAAGTGATTGTTAGTTAATGATAGAATAGAAGAACTGTAACTTAGAAAAAAAAGATCACCTATTCAACCAGTTATCGATTTGTTTGTTAACATATGCGGGTGATGACTATTCAGTAATTTGTGTTCACATCTATTGAACAGTTAGATAATTTAAATCGCACCATTTGAATTTTATGTACAATTTGGCAAGAACATTACTAACTAACCTGTGTGTTTATAGTTGTAATAAAAATTATTCAAGCTGTGATGTTGTGTTTTTTGATGATTAAATTTTTTTTAAAAAAAAATTTCTTATCAAGTTTTATGTTTTGCAAATGAATGATTGGCTAGTTGTTCACATTAGGTATAAAGTAATCGAGAGTTACGTCTGAAAGTGAACATAAGAATGAATCGTCAATAAGTGTTATTTTTAAATTTACGAAAATAATGCACATCATTTTACTGATAAATTCAGGGGTTAGGCGTTTGAGTACAAAACCGAAAGTCCCGCGTTCGAATCTTGAGAGTAGCATTAGCTGTGAATGCTCAATGCCACTGATGAATCCCATAACAGGACGAAACAGCCGTTCAGTGCTTCTTCCAGGTTTCTAATGGTGGTCTGTCAATGATCGACTCATGATTTATATAATTTAGAAGTTCAGCAAATCATCTCAAGACTAATTGAGGTAGCGTTTTATTCAAAAATTAAACTACCTACTCATAAGTAGTTTGGCTATCGACATTTTTTAAAAATCGCAATCTGAAGACTTTTAAATGGGAGAGTTGACAAAACTAGCAAAAAAAACGTGTTTGGTGTGTAAATCGAGTTGGAAACGTTTTCTCTTAGACATTTTCTCATGATTAAATTGAATCTTTTATCAAATGATAGTAAATTTTATTTTATTGGGTCCAGTTTCCGTGAGTAGGAGTTGTGTATGCAAACTGCTGAATGGTTCCATACTACGACAAAACAGCCGTCTAGTGCTTCTAGATTTCTTTCTGATGGTGATCTAACATTGAAGTGATTCACGATTTCAATAACAATCAACAATCTGTTTACCTCTATAATGAATATTATTGTATTGTATTGATCTTTTGTGATCCCAGTCAGTAGAATTTAATGTTTAGATCTCAGAATATGATTAGGGTAGATTAAAAATGTAATATACATATTAGGTAGCATGTTGTTTTCTTGTTATCAGTCGACAGGAGGCTATAAAATCCAATCTGAAGTAGACTGTTATTGTTTCATCCAAGCATACAATTTTTTAACTGGACAGTATATATATGTATCATGAACTAGATCTTATCCAGAATTGATTGTAACTGTTACGCATGTACGTCAACAAGTCAGTTGATATGCTTGAACTATTACGAATTCACCTTAGTTAGTAAACGAGAGCGAGGATCGAGGATCCGGCGACACGACAGGCCACTCTAATCCGAGCGTGCCAAACCCCCAATGAGTACAAGAAGGAAACTTGATATGAAGTGAACGTGTATTCTACAAGTACCTAGAGAGTACGAGGTCCGAGTCCAGAAGAGAATCCGGATCGTAAAATGCTACAGATAACCCATATTTATGCAATTAGTTCGAATAGGAAACAACATTAGAACTATGTGACATTGATAGTTAGGACGACCAATGGGAATTAACCAATAGAATTAGACTTACAAATAATTCTCATAGGATATTGGATGAATATCCTAACAGTAACATAGTCACATTCTAGCCTAGTTTAAGTTCACCATTATTTCTGGCGTCTTTTGTATTTGAATAAAATTACTGTACAGTACTTTCTGGTTTTCACTAATGATTTTTCAGCTTATTGTAGTAATAATAATAGTATTTTGAAGAGCAATTATCGCATAAAATCTACACACAAACTAATCTAAATAGATTTTGTAACGAACTAATTTAAGTGGTGATAGTTTACATGGCAAATTGACGTTAATTAAACAACCGTTGGAAACTCATCGCTGCTGCAGAGTTTTTTCTCATCCTAATATTGAGATTAACAGAGTTTATTCATGACTTCATTGGCTCGTGTACTCATTAGTGACTCATTTTGTGGGGGTATTTGCCGAAAGAAGCTGTTATGAAAGTCACTGAATGATTGAAATTACAAGCGTAAACAACTGTTGAATGTCTCCTATTCAGTGGTTCAATAGTTAGACAATTACTACGTCAGATATATAGTTATCGAATGCAAACTTGGACGAAAAAGTTTGTTAGTTTTCATGGGTTCTCTCATTATGTTAGCATATCGAAAACAAGAAGGAACTCTTCTTGAACTTCTTATATGGATGACTTTTTGGTTTTATTAAAATTATTGAACTGATCATTGTTAGACCGCCACTAAAAGCACGAAAACATTGGACGACCGTTTCGTCCTGGTATGGAATACGTTATCGATGTGCATCTATGATCTTTGAACCCTATAATCGAACCCATGATCTTCAGTCTCGTGTGGGATCGTTTAACCTCTAGACCAATGAGCTGGCATCCAACAGTGTTAATGTCCAACTTCGATCAATCCACGGTCTAGCGTAACCCCACTCATTTTCTTCACTGAATAACTGGTTGACACCCGATACAGTTAAACTCCAAAGGGCAACAACTTCTCACTAGAACTCCGAGAAATTTCCTCACGAAACAATTCAATAATGAGGGTATTTTATTTCTGAAGAAACATTTTACTGTTCAAGTTTCGACGTTTTTTTTTCTTCTCTACCTTTCTTTGAATGCCATATGTATATATTCATTTTTTCGGATCAATTTTCAATTACCCTAAATGATTGAAACAATTATGATTTATTCAACGAATAGATTGTTTTTGTGTTCATTCTCTAATCTATATAAATTACACTTTAAATCATTGTTTTTTTTAAAAAAAAAATTTTTTTCAATTCTTCTAATTACAGTCGTAATTAATTTATCAAATAAGACAATGACGCCTAAAATGTCGTTGATTTATAGATATATATATCAAACATTATGATTATTTCTGTTTAGCTAAACATTGATAATCGATAGAAAACATCAGTGTGATGAAGTTGGTATTACTAGTTGAAAAAAAACAACTTACTCACTTACATAATCAGAGGTTTATTGACCACCAGTCAGAGTAGAAAATATTCGTAGGTTGTTTGTTTTTGGATTATAGATGTCTTCGAAGCATTGCTTGTGTATCATGGGGTGACCGAGTAAGCAATGCTGTTGTTAGGAAAAGGGTGCTAGGTAAGGATGGTAGGTTGATAGATAAAGTATTGAAACTTCATCAATTGAGGTGGTGAGGACGAGTGTTGCGTAGACTCAACCACCGACTGCCTCGACGAGCTCTGTTTTGTAGTGTAGGAGTAGGTTGGAAGAAAGTTAGGTGTGGCCAAACTAAAACATGGCACAAATCCATGTAGTCACTGACAAGTGGATTGAGTCATATTGGCAGGTGTCGACTACCCGGTTGGGGTCTGCGAGATGATAGTAATTGATGGTTAGAGATCTTGATGGCCATGGCCTCAAAATCGTTTGATATAGCGCAGGTACGTTCATTCTTGGTGTTCTCTCAAATCCTTAACTTTTTAATTCCTCATCACATTTATTTTTGTCTTTTTAAGTCTATTTCACTAGATTCTACTTCTAGAATAATATCTTCTAATCTTAATCTCTCCGACTACTGGTAATACCTTTAATACCTCTACTACTATGAGATTTGAATTGACAATTACATCTCCGTTCTAATGTGGTATGGCAGCATGAACTGATGTACGTTCGTACGTACGAAGTTCTACGATGCTATTGATTGATTGATTGAATAGGTCTATCGAATCTGATTATTTATATATAATCACTAAATTTTAATGATTGACCAATTATCAGTGGTGTAATTTCTTTTTTTCGAATTTCACGAGGAGAAGTAAACATGAAGATTTAGTGGGGAATATTATGAATTTTATTTTAAAATTTTTAGTCAAATTCTCATCAACTTCTGCTTACAATGGTAATCAATCTTTTCCTCAATCCGGTAACTTGGAACATCCATGTTGTATAACCTCATCGTTTTTTTTTACTACAACTCTTTCTCACACTTTGATTACATCATTTTCATTTGTTTAGAATTGACAATTTTTGATTCTAACTGACTGACTTACTCTTTGTTCTCGGTTACTTCACTTAGAAATCATTTAAAGTTTTTTTATAACAATGGTTTTTGAATGACTCATTTGATGTTCTGCAACTTTATGTTAGAATATTCATCCAATATCCTAAGAGAATTATTTGTAAGTCTAATTCTGTTTGTTACTTCCTATTGGTCAATATTATGGTCGTCCTAACTGTCACTGTCACATACTTCAATGTTGATTCCCATTCGGCCTAACTGTATAAATACGCCTTATCTGTAACGTTTTATGACCCGGCCCGGGCCCGGACCCGGATCCCTAGTCTGGGACCCTGATCCTTTTCTGGACTCGGACCTCGTACTTTCTGGATGCTTGAAGAATACACGTTCTAATTCATATCAACTCTTCTTTTACTCAATGGGGGTCGGGACTCCCGGATTATAGTAGCATGTCGAGCCGTCGGATCCTCGATTCTTGCTCTCATTTTCCGACTATGGTGAACTCGTCATTGTTCAAGCATATCCAACTAACGTGTTGATGTACATTCATAACACTTTATTAAAAACTTCACTACATCATGATACATCTCGCCAGTTATTTTCATGTTTTTTTTCATCATAAATATGTCAATTCCTATCATAATTTTGAATTGAAAATAGTGTTAGTTGTTAAGTAGTCAATAAGAAACTAACGCAATAGAATAAATTCATATTGTACACTGAACAAATCTTTTTTTTTGTTTTTTTTTCTGCTCTCTTCAATATCAGAAACGACACTTTATGTATGCGTAAATCTGTTTTCTATGCCAAAAATTATTCACATAAAAATGGTAATATAAGCATGGATTATGTTCATCGCAATTGACCAATCATAGTTGAGAGTTAAACGCCCACCATTTTTTAAGATTCATTCAATCACAGATTAATAATGATTACTCTGATCCTTTCTAACTAAACTCTCAAACATGGCACTGTATCAGTAATATGTGTATATAAAACCTTTGTTATTGATTCCTTTTGTTGTAACCTTGCATGTGTTTTCATGATGGAGTTATGGAGATTGTTGAGTTCGACTGAAATTATTAATCGATCAATGTTAGACTATCATTAGAAGGCTGGAGGGATTGGTCGGCTGTTTCATCCTAGTATGGGACTAATAGCCAGTGCAAATCTGCTGTGGGTGGTAGATCCCCAGAATTCGCTTGATAAATATCTTTATTTTGGATTTATTTCATGACTGATCGGTTGACCTTGAGATCACATTTCCCATCAGAAAAATCCTTGACTGTGATTGGCTATGTTATTTTTGTGACTGTCCCAAGGACATCTCTATAGAGTATAAATAAACGCAATTTGAGCGCTTGGATTCATTGTGTGCTGGCTGGGTGTTTGCAGAATACAATTTCTACACTATATCAAGACTTCTTGCTTTAAAATTGGGACAATCGGATCACAGTAGCCTACCTGGACGCTAGTTCATTGTTTTGTTCTCGTTATTCGACTAAGACGAACCCGTGATAGTTTTAAGCATACCTAGAGTCGAGCATAACAAAATCCACGACCTTCACCCTCAACAATCGAACCTAGGATTTTCGGTCTTGTGTACGAATGCTTAACCTGTAGATGATGATAACTAGATAGTTTTCTTGCCCATTGATTTTAAACTTTCTAAGCAGTACACATAGATAATGTACTTTTCATGTCATAAAAAAATATGAAGGTCATTTAATTGTGAATTCCATTCAAAAACTAAATGCCCATTTTCTCTATTCCGACTAGTTCATCTTTAAAGTACAGTTGTATCCAGCACGTTTCTCCCCTTTTTTCATAATTAAATAATCTTTGGTTTGTTTCAAGCACAAATCATCAGAATTCTAACATTGCTTATTTACGTCTGTTACTCCTAGTGGAGCATAGTCCACGGGCCAGGATCATCCAACCTCAACTGTCCTGAAGACCTTCTAACTCCCAGGGCAGAGTTTAAATGGTTTGAATTGATTTTTCTAGTTAGAGTTTTTAATAGCGAGTTAGTTTTCTACGGGATGGAGTCGTCAACCCCACACCCAAACCCTCCTCCTTTATCCAGGCTTGGGACCGGCAGTAGCCCCAGAGCGGTTCCAGGCGGAGTTGGAGTTTTAACATACATGAATTAACTTAATAACCAATGTGGAGTTTCGTCATATAAGAATAAGGCAATAATATTGAACTATGGAATCAAAAGCATTCACAACGAAACTACTTACTAACTTATCACGATATTTTGTTGTTTTTTTTTATTGTTTAAATGAACAACAATTCGCGTTGTATTTCCGTCTTTAATTTTTCCCGCTAAAATTTTTGATTTGTGTTTCCGTTTTTTATTTTTAACTTTTTCATTGAATGAATTGTAAATTTCATAATTTTTCTCTTCCCTTTTTTGTTTTTACTACTCTCAATAGGCTATGGATTTATTGATTTTGTCTCAGAAGATGCTGCCAATGAAGCATTACAACAAATCAAAGAAACACATCCATCATTTACAATTAAATTTGCAAAAGTATGTTGATCCGATGAAGTTTTTTTTGTTGTTGTTATGGTTTAACATGATTTTTATTGTTTCGTTTTTCTGTTTGCTTAAATTTAGTTTCAGGTTTAAAAAAAAAACCTACTACCTACCTAACTCAGGTCTCTCTGATATGGCTGGAAAATGGAAATTTTGCTATTGTGAAAAAATCATTACCCGACATGAGACAAAGGGTAATCAGAGTGTTTGAGCCCATTTTACATAAAGTTGGGCTGCATCTCTTGCTATCCTAACCCATACTATATGTATACCATATATTATACTGCTATAAAGAGTTCAAGGTTTCATATAAGACCAGAGGTTTATTGTGAACATCGTTGATGGCTTGGCATTACTTTGGCAAGTATTGCTAACAGTCCATTTATAAAATCGGTTAGCAGGGTGACCGATTTCATTGATACTTCTGGTGGTTGTCTTACAGCATTCCCGAGGGCCATAGTCATTGGGGTGCTGTACTGCACATCACCATTGCTAATAATAATGAGTTTGACAGTCATGTAAGTGGGATGGGTCGAAATGGACTGTTCATGCTGTGCATAGTGATTGACGCAACCATGGATGGGAAATAATCACTATATATGTATTGGTGTATATAATTGGTGTGAATGGTCCACCAGGATGTCAGGTACCTGTGTGGTTGCACCCAGGGATTGAGTCGAGCTGTTCACGTTAAAACGTTAACACCTGGGCAGTCTCCTTGGTGTTCCTGAAAACCAATGTAAAATCGCCCTTGCCAGTAGAGGATTAATTTATACAATTAAAATAAAAGGTGTGTTTCTGTTTTCTTTGAAATTTCATGTCTTATGTCTGTTTATCATGGAACTATCGACTAGGCAATGTTGTTGTTAGGAAAGGGGTGCTAGATAAGGATGGCAGGTTAATAGATGAAGTATTGAAACTTCATCACTTGAGGTGGTTGGGACGAGTGTTACGTAGACCCAACCACAGACTGCCTCGTTGAGCTATATGTTGCGGTGTGGGAATAGGTTGGAAGAAAGCTAGGTGCGGCGAAACCAAAACATGGCACAAACTCATGTAGTCACTGACTACTGTATTGAGTCATGTTGGTATATGTCGACTACCTGGTTGGGGTCCGTGAGATAATATTGATCGATGCTTAGAGACTCTGAACGACATGGCTCGAAACCGTTGGTAGTGGCAAAGGTGCATCCACTCTTTATGTTCTCTCAAATTATAATCTTCTGAATTCCTCATCACTGTTTTTTCCTCTTTTTTTTAATCGGTCCCCCTTGAATAAACATCTCGAATGACATATTCGATCATCAATCTTTTTTGATTACTGCTAATCTTCCTACTACCTCTACTACTATGGGATTTAAATTGACAATCACGTCTCTATGCTAATGTCGTATGGCAACTTGAACTGATGTACGTGCATACGTACGTACGAAGTTCTACGTTGTAGCTAACTGTCCATTTAGCCTAGTATATCATGTTATAGTTTATATCACGAACTGATCTTGATTAAATAATCATTGTTAGCCAGAAAACACTATAAGCTATTTCATCCAAGTGTGAAACTCCTCAACAGTAAAAATCCTTTATACTAGAGCAATGATATTTTATTTTATAATGATGAGTTATTCAAAGGTTAACTTTATCGATTGTTGTGTACTTTCCATGAAAAATGGTTAAATAAAATCTACACACTTATCAACACAAAAGTATTTAAAATGTACAATATCTTTCGATTCACTGAAAACAGTTGTGACGAAACCTTGAGCCTAAGTGATATTTTCGGATATCAGTTATCGCTATATAGTGCAGCTGCAATTTTTGAGGCCACCGATTAATACTCACCCCTTCACTCGATTGGTCATCTAGATAAGTTACAAATGAGTAATCCAGGTAACGGATGATGTCCGATAAGACTGATGTATTTGCATTGATTATTTACTGAGTTTTAATCGATGTCATCATGCGTTTATCGAATCATTTAGTGTTGGCTGTATTCCATCGATTAAGTACGACTCAGTATATAAAATCACCGGCTCAAATGATTCGACATTACTGTCTGATTGCTTGAAAACACTAAACAATGAGATATGATATACCTTAATATTGAGTCACTTAGACTGACCGCCATAAGCGCGACTTCATACAATGAATCTAATCAACACAACCAGGTCGATAGAACCAACGATAGGTACCGTAATTGGTGTGAAGTCCATGTTTGAATAGAGAGAATAATGCTGTGGCTACAGCAAGGGAATTCAGGACATGTATTTCGTCTAATTTGAGTTTCGTCAGCTGGATACACTTTTATTTCAATGTTACTTTCCACACTAGGATTCGAACCCAATACTTTTCACCTGTAATGTCAACACGTTACATTGTTTTTTTCAATTAGAGTTATGAAGATCAGTATTTTTCCACATTTGAAATCATCAATCAATCATGGTTAGATAATCATTAGAAATCTGGAAGAAGCACTGAAAGACGTCCGTTTCGTCCTAGTATAGGACTCATCAGTGGCAGTGTGCATCCACAACTCTTGCACCTCGCAGGATCATACCAGGATGAAACGGCCGTCTAGCCGATCCAGGTTTCTAATGGTGGTCTAACAATGACTGATTGATGATTTCAATGTGTAGAATAATTATTAAACAGATTAACGAGATGTTTGTGTGAATTTAGAAAACAATTCAACTTTACCCCCTTTCATATTTATCCGTGCATAAATAATTTTTATAATCTTTATTCAACTCGTGATAATGGTGAATTTTTTATTTTATCAATCGCTAATTCACATATACATACAAAGATTCTTACATATTAAAACTTTGGCCTACAAATCAAATAATGACTGTGTTGGAGACGTTAAATTCTCTGAAGGGTCCTAATTATGGATTTTTTATGTTTCCGCGCATAAGTTGCTCAGCTGACCCTGAGATTACATTTCCCACTTGGAAACTCCTTGACTATCTTTTTTGGCTCTCCTAAGGACATTTCTATCACGTATAAATAAGCTCGATTTGTGTACTTGTGGACCTCGTATTTTTTGGGTGCTTGTAGAATACTCTTTCTACTCCATATCAAGACTTCTTACTCTACTTAATGGGGCCTTGGGACGCTCGTATTAGAGTAGTAGCCTATCTTATCACTGGATCATTTGTCTTGGCTCTGGTTTACCGACTAAAGTGAACTCGTAATAGCATTCAAGCATATCAGTTGATGAGTATATCAGACTGTAATCGAAGAATAATATCCGCATTACATCTTACATCTGACAAGTGTTTGCAACATCGGTAAATAATTAAAGGCCAGTTGAGCGCTTACTGAGAAATTCGACGATCCTGAATACGATTACTTGAATGTGTGTACTTTTGAGAAGCCATTAATTCACACTAACAATTATTCACTGCTTGTTGGTTCCCAATAATGGGATGGAGGATAAGCGGTACCAGACTGTAAATTCATCTGATCTAATGTTCATCTACTGTAATTATGTTTTCAGAGGTCAAATTCATCATCAGTGCGTAGCAGGCTTCTAAATTCAGTTTTCCAAAGGTTGGTCAGAATAAAAAAAAGATAAACGGGAACTTATATCACTAAAATCTACGAAGACCTCTGTCAAGTTCATCCTGTTTCTAGCGTATAATTGAAAGCTATGTTAAGCTTGAGAAGTCGATCGTGAACAGTATCTTGAAACACACTGCTTCCGAGATAAACTGACTGCTTGATTACAACATGTGGAGGAGGTGACAGTCAACAGTCTTGAAGTGTTGTCAGTACTAGATGTAGGATCCAAACTAAGGTTTGGATTGAGGGATAACAGTCTAGATAGTTTAGATACGCGCTGTTGCCCAGTTTAAATCCAAAACAAGTGATTTGGGTAAATGACGGTTCTAATATTCATCATAAATATAAATTTACATCATTACCTAAACAAATATTACCACTCAGTTATTCCCCCAACAATTGTTCGATGAATCAAATCAACAGCAACAAATAAATGTTATTCTATCCCATCTTGGATAGATCAGATTCGTTCAAAAGATAATATTTGGTTGCTTTATAACACAGAGTGCTTCTTATTCTGCAAGAGTGCTTCAATTCACAATCAAAATGCACAATTCCAGTCAATACAAGCATCTCAATCAAAGGAGGCAAAAATCAATATGGCTGTTGCCATAACTAAATATGAGCTTAAACAACATAACACAGTTCAGAAAGAAACATAGAAATAGAAACTATGATAAAATACAAATATTATCATCTCAAAATGGAATCGAACAGACGAACAAAATTTACAACTAAAGGAATCAATAAGGACATATTACAAATGTATATACATGGAGGGGTTTTCACCAACAAAAAACCTTCAAAAATGGATCTTACACTAACTAAATAAACCATGCTATATCAGACCTATGGGCAGCATCATCGACGAGAAAGGTGGATCGGATGCAGATGTGAGGGCGCGGCAAAGCGAGGGCTGCATTTCTACAGTTGAAAAATATCTGGAACTCCAAACAACTTTCAACCAAAACCAAAATCACGATTTTCAATACAAATGTCAAGACAGTCCTACTGTATGGAGCGGAAACATGGAGAACTACCAAAGCCATTATCCAGAGGATACAAGTGTTTATTAACAGTTGTCTACGCAAAATACTTCGTATTCGTTGGCCAGACACCATCAGCAACAACGAACTGTGGGAGAGAACAAACCAGATTCCAGTGGAGGAGGAAATCAGGAAGAAGCGGTGGAAGTGGATAGGACACACATTGCGGAAAGCACCTAACTGCGTCACGAGACAAGCCCTCACATGGAACCCTCAAGGCAAAAGGAAAAGAGGAAGGCCAAGGAACACACTACGCCGAGAAACAGAGAAAGATATGAGAAGAATGAACAAACATTGGACAGAACTGTAAAGGGAAGCCCAGGACAGAGTTGGTTGGAGAAAACTGGTGGGCGGCCTATGCTCCATTAGGGGTAACAGGCGTAAGTAAGTAAGTAAGTAATATCAGAACTAACAAAGGGAACAGCTAAATACCATTGATATCAGAGAAATTGGAGAGAGTTTAAAAAAATTTTTTTTCAAAAATTCATTACATTTCATATCTTATAATCGATATCAAAGAAAAAAAGTTGTTATCTATTTAAAAGATCCAAAAACACACAATATGATTTATATGCTCAATTATGTGTATTGGACATTGAAAATTGTTTTTTTTTTTTAGCAAAAAAAAAATCAACCACATATATTTTTAACATAAAGCGATTTTTATTTAAATTTAGATGTTTTTGTAATTTGGTAAATAAATCAAGAAAGAACACCCCTATCACAACAACAACAGATAGACAGAAAGAACTTTATACACATAGTAGTAGTAATAGTGTGTAGTTTGTTTTAATTAGTATGATATAGTGAGTGTCACGTAGACATTTTAAATGTTTTTTTTCAATTGAAACATTCATAACTTATGTTTTTGTACATAAGAAATTCTGTCTGTATGTTAGTTCATGTATGTCATTCATTGTTTAACATGCACTGTGCAAGGCGGTTATTTGTATGTCTCTGAATATTGTTTGTAATCTGTGTATAGTGTGTAACTTAACGAGTAATAATTTTGTCAAGGTTTTATAAAACAACATTTACGAATCTCAATTAATATGACTGTGTGGTGCGCGCTACTTATAAGTAGTATATGATGTGAGTGTCAACGTAATGTCTAGCAGCAGAAGATTGCAGAAGATCAATAAAGGGAGAGTTAGAAAACAATGGAATTTGTATGAAACGCATGAATAGTGACAATGAATTGATGTTTTGCAACAGGAACAGTCCAGTTCGATATAATGAACTGATATTTTGCAAATTAACAATTTACGATATGGTTTTGCTATTTTACTGAGTAACTCTGTAATTTTCGATAAATACGATCCGGTTGCCCCACCTGTGTTTTCGTTCACTACAACCGTACTATGTCTGTCAATGAAAGAAGTCTGAAAAGAAGTGCATCGGCTACATGAATTCCAAAGAAAGTTGGCTGTCAACATGAGGCACCCCGGAATTTGTACTAAATGAAAAGATATTACATACAACTCTCAGAGCACAAATGAAATGGCTTGAATTATTTTTTCTTGGTTAGTGCACTTGGCAAGTGTTCGTTTTACTACTACGGTATGGGATTGCTAACTCCTCCTTTATTCGAGTAACTCTAGAAGAATTCTAGGCAAGGTTTCTCACCAAGAATCAAACAGATGTCCTGTGCAATTACTGCTTTTGATGACGTAAACTATCGTAGATACTGTAATATCTCTTCCTAGATATTCACTACTATTTTATTTGTAACGGTTTGCATTTTTATGATTGATATTAATTAAAGAATACATCTCATACATTCCTATTGGTAACTCATCAACAGGTTTTGAAATACAAGATATATTCTGTTCAAAACCTAAAGTGAACATCTATTTTTATATTTCGAGATCGAGAAAGATCCAACTAATGAGCCCTGAAGAGAATGAAACATGTCTCGTTGACACCTCTGTTAACTACAAACTTAATTTTAGAATTATCTTAAATGGATTTGATCAAATTTACTTGAATTTAACTTTTGAAATCATGAATCGATCAAAGTTAGACCATCATTAGAAACCTGGAAGAAGCACTGAAAGACGACCGTTTCGTCCTGGTATAGGACTACTCATCAGTGGTAGTGCACATCCACGACTCCTGCACCTCGCAGGATTTGAACCTAAGACCTCCGTTCTTGCGCGTGAACGCCAGTCTCTACCGGTGTTAATATCTAACTTCGATCAGTTCGTGGATGCGTAATGCCACTGATGAGTAGTCCTATACTAGGACGAAATGGCCGTCTTTCAGTGCTTCTTCCAGGTTTCTAATGGTAGTCCGTTATTGATCGATTCATGCTTTCAAATGAGTAACTTAACACTCTTCACAACCTCGCAATTTAATTCTAACTGTTTGTTTGTTTGTTTTCATTCTGTTTTGCATCGTTTCTATATAAGGAGAATGAAAAAGATAAAACCAATTTGTATGTGACAAATCTGCCAAGAACATGGACAACTAAAGATAGTGATCAATTGAAAGCTGTATTTGAACAATTTGGTCATATACAATCAGCATTTGTTATGATGGAACGTTTAACTAATAAAACAACTGGTTAGTTGAGATTTTTAAAAGACCTTTTTTTGAAAAAAAAGCAATTGGTTTTAAAACAAAAATATTCAATGGTAGAGTGAGATAGATAAATGTTTTATTTTCAATGTAGGGTACTCTTACCAAAGTCTGCTTTGGTTCAAGACAAACAGTTATGGATTTTAAGGGTATGAAGGCGGGTGTCACTTCCCGGTTGCCCACATCGAGGAAGTATACTACTTGAGGAATCTGAGAAGGAAATCGGATTGGCTTGGTCTGAGAGATCTGGAAGCGTGACCGCAAAGCCCAAGGAAAAACGGTTTGAGGCCAGTCAAGCACGGCCCTTTTTGGTAATGTTTTATAGCTCTGCTCTTCAGATGGCCTTACCGTCAGAGACGGAAATCTGTGAGTTAGGGTGAAGTGTAACATTGTTAGGGTTGACCTTTTCTAACTCCATCCTTCCACTGTGGGAAGCTAGTATTGCTACAGATGCTGGTTGTCCGAGGGAAACACCTTACTACTGTCACACCCCTCTACAGTCAGCAGTACGACTTCGCCCTCAGAACTTGAGTAGCTGCTTTCAGTCTTACCGTTCTCTAAACGACTTGCATGACATGACAGAACCTACAGAAATATATGTTCGAGCCAATATAGCTCGGTTGGGTCATCACGACAGGTAAGCCTGACCACCACATCAAGGCAACGGCTACAGTCGTGATTAGTATAGAGGAGATTGTGGACTTTCTTTACTAATCGTAGACGAACCACCATCAAAAATCTAGGAACACTAAACAAACGGTTCGTCTTAGTATAAACCATAGATGCTGCACCCAGGAATCTAACCAAGGACCTTTAACCTTATACACGAGCTCATAACCTCTAGATAACTGGGTTAACACCAGTGAAAATGCTAAAATCTCGACAAATTGCTCTGTAAGCGTAATAAACATTTGATTTCAAGTGACTGGCTTTGAAATGGAAATTTTGGAGTTCTACTGAAAAGCTGATGGAGTTCAACCCTGTTGGGTAAGAGGCAGTATTCACCTCAAAGAACGGATGAGGGTTGCGTAGTATTCTGATTGAGTGAAATTAGACTTTTACATCATTGTGTGTTGACTTATTTGTCTGGAGGTTAAGCTTCCGTATACGAGACATAAGGTTCTAAGTCCGATTCCTGGTTGTATGGTCCTGAGAGCGTCATGTTGACGAGTCTTATATTTGGACAAAACGACCATCTAATTATTCTAGGCTTCTATTGATCATTTCATTAAGATCAATTCTCAGTTAGGGTTATGGAGATTAGTGTTTTTACACATTTGAAATCATCAATCAATCATTGTTAGACCACCATTGGAAACCGGGGAGGAAGCACTGAAAGACGGTCGTTTCATCCTGGTATGGGACTCATCAGTGGCAGTGCGCATCCACGACTTTTGCGCCTCGCAGCATTCGAACCCGGAACCTTCGGTCTTGAGCATGAACGCCTAACCGCTGGATCACTAAGCTGGCATCCAAATGTTTTAATGTCAAACTCTGATTGATCTAGCGGTTTTGTGCGACCTTACCCTTTTGTCTTTAGTAGTTACTGCCTACACTCGACAGGGTTGAACTCTACTGGTCACACTAATCTCCATAACTCCAATTGAAAATATAGTAAAATGTGCTCACTGGTAACTAACTTCATGAGGCAATTCTCAGAGTTCTAGTAAGAAGACGTCACCAAATTTTTTCACAACAGCATTTCATTTATTATAAATCGTAATGTTATTAATGGTCATGTACCTATGGAAGACATAACTTGAATTCCAGTGGTTAAGATTTTATTTCACACCTACTTAACAGACTAAAATGAGTAATTCTAACAGTAATGTATTGATCAGTAAATAATAGTGATTAGAATAATATCATGGGGTCGTGAAGATTGTTAAGTTAAAAATTTGAAATCATGAATCGACCAAAGTTAGACCACCATTAGAAACCTGGAAGAAGCACTGAAAGACGGCCTTTTCATACTGGTATGGGACTCATCAGCAGTGCATGTCGCTGCCTCTGCACAGGATGAAGATCCCATGGTCTCGGGAGTTTGAAGACGGAGATGTAAGGAGCTTCTTGGAGGCTTCTTGGGGACTCTACTAAGAGGCAGGGCAAGAGCGGTGTAAGATGATGTGGAAGACGCTGACTGGGAGGTGGTGACGGAAAGGCTGCTGGTGGAGTTCGACAGCCGGGCGGATAGGCAGGACGCACTGCAGAAGTTCTGAGGGGCGAGACTAACGGTGGATGGAGACCCACTCGTGCTGGCTGTGGAGTTGACAAGATTGCTGCGCCGGGGTCTGCCGAATTTGGATGAGGAGTCGCAAGCACAGCTGCTAGCGTCGCAATTCATTGAAAGTGTGCCTTATAGAGGTTGCCCAACAGTTGAGACTGGTGAACGCCGCACAACCAATGGACGTCACCGAGCTGGCAAAAGTAACGAGACAGCTGATGAACCCAACAGTCGCCTCGGTGGCGTGTGAGAGACATGCGGATGATGACGCAAAGAAGGTAGAAGAGTTACAGTGCGAGGTGGCAGCGTTACGAATAAAGGGTGGAAGAAATAATAAATGCCAAATTTGCGGAGGAACCGGTCACTGGAAGAGGAATTGCCCAACAAAACGAAAACATTACATTGAATACACTCTATTTGCACACCATCTTTGAGTCGTGACTTCCAACACTCCATCCTTCTTCCATTCCTGTTGTCGCTTCCCTTCCTTCCTGTTGGTACTCCATTCAGTTCTTGCTTTTGCTCCATTTGCTTTCCGTTTTCCTCTTCTGACCGTGAGACTTCTTCTTATACTATTTATATCGTTCGTATAGGTAGCACACACCACAGTACTATTTTACTGTATTATATTTGCTTAAAAAACGCCAATGTTCATGAATTCATTTCTGTCATTTTTCATAACACCACAATATTCTTATTTATCATTTTTTTCTTTTAATAAACTAGGTGTTGGTTTTGTACGATTTGTCAATGAACAAGATGCAATGAATGCTTTAGAATCACTGAAACTACATCCTCTCACTTTACCTGATTGTTCTGTTCCAGTTGAAGCAAAATTTGCCGATAAACATAATCCTGATACAAGAAGACGACGTTATCCTGGCATGATGACGATAACAACAACACCGACAACAACAGCGACAACAACCGGTGCAGCAGCTGCTGCTGCAGCCGCCGCCGCCGCCGCTGCTGCCGCTGCCTCAGCCACCATGATTGCTAATGTGAATTATAATAATACTTTATTAAATTGTCCTTTATATACAACAACACCGAATGGTAGTTTAACGCTGACATCACATGATGCTGCTTTAGCATCATTGGCTACATTGTTGAATACAGGTTTAGTCAGTCCATCGATTATTAATAATCCATTGGCTAATTTCTCTGCATTACAACAACAACAACAACAAAAATCGACCAATGATTTTACGTCACAACATTTCAACTCAGATTTACTGAATGGTTTTATACAACCAATGAAATTTTCTAATGATTCATCATCGCTGAACAATAATACTACTTGTAATAATAATAATAACAGTAGTACTACTCCTAATATGAATCATCATCATCATCATCATAGTAGTAGTAGTAGTAACAATCATAACAATCATCATACAAATGGTTTAATAACAGATTTCACTGTCAATGGAACACGTGAATCGAATTTAGCTGCATTAGCCGCGGCTGCAGCTGCTGCCAATGTAGCAGCAGCATCAACAATATTCTGTGGATCACCAACAACCAATAATTTCATGAATAATTGTTTACGTTCTAATTCTACAGCGAATGGTGTAGCGAATTTAACTAATGGTTTATTGACAGCTAATCAAATTGCTTTACTTAGTGGTACAACGGGTATACCTTCACCAGATACAAAATTATTTGATCCAAAGTAAGTTGAATTAATTAGTAAGGAATTATTAGGATTACTAAAATGTAGACATCATACTGAAATTATATCGATAAGTTGCTATCTAGCAACCAAAGATTATTAAGTTACTTATTGAAATCATGAATCGATTAATGTTAAACCACCATTAGAAACCTGGAAACATTGGATGGCCGTTTCGTCCTTGTATGGGATTACTCAACAGTGGCAGTGCGTATCCACGACTTCTGCATCTCTCAGGATTTGAATCCAGGACCTTCGTTGTTGCGCTCGCGAACGTCTAACCTCTGAACGGTACCTAGCCTGAATCCTGCGAGGTGCAGGAGTCGTGGATGCGCACTGCTGATGTGTAGTAGTCTCATACAAAAACAAAACGGCCGTCCAACGCTTCTAGGTTTCTAATGGTGGTCTAACATTGATCGATTCATGATTTCAATTGAAACTAACGTTCAAGGTTTTCAACTTTCAATGATCCCAGTATCAAACTACGATAATTACATACTTAATCGATTGAATTCAATTTGTGCTGAGATATAAAAGAAATGAAACACATCATACTGGTGTTATCGTTAGTTGCTGATTGATTTATATAAACTGATTAAAAACTGTATGAAGAGTTCATTTATTCTTATCGTATGACTTATGTTCAGCATAAACGAAAGTTATTTTTTAAATTTTCTACCAGTTTACACGAAAGATTTCGATTATCAGATGTTAGCTGGGGTAGTGGGGTATGTTTATTCACTTAATTACTTACTTACTTACTGCCTTACGCCAGTTGCCCCCAGTGGAGCATAGGCTGCTGGCCAGTATTCTCCGACCTACTCTCTTCTGGGACTCCATTTCCAGTTCTGTCCATTTTGCATTCATTCTTCTCCGATTCCGTGTTCCTTGGTCTACCACTTTTCGTTTCACATTGAGGCTTTCAAGTGAGGGCTTGTCTTGTGATGCAGTTGGGTGCTGTCTGCAGTGTGTTTCCTATCCACTCCCAATGATTCTTCCTGATTTCCTATTCCATTGGAATCTGGTTTGTTTTCTCCCACAGTAGGTTGTTGCTGTTGATTTCTGGTCAAAGGATACTAAGTATTTTGCATAAACAACTGTAAATGAATACTTGTATCTTCTGGATGATGGCCTTCGTAATTCTCCAAGTTTCCGCCCCATACAGTAGGACTGTCTTGACATTTGCATTGAAAATTGTGACTTTGGTGTTGGTTGATAGTTGTTTTGAGTTTCAGATGTTGTTTAAAGATAAAAATGCAATCCTTGCTTTCCCGATCCACGCCTTTACATCAGCGTCAGATCCACCTTGTTCACCAATGCTTCTGTCCAGATATGTAAAGGTTTTTACTTCCTTCAAGGCATCTTCATCAAGAGTGATTTGGTTGGCGCTTGTTGTGTTGTATCGGGAGACTTTGCTTTCCCCTTTATGTATGTTGAGACCTGCTGCTGTTATACAGGCTGCTGCCAGTCTGGTCGTCTTCTCTTGCATTCTTTGTTGCGTGTACGATAGAACAGCCAGATCATCTGCGAAGTCTAGATCGTCCAGCTGCATCCTGGTTGTCTATTGTATACCGTGCTTTCCTCCAGATGTTGACGTCTTCATAATCCAGTCGATCATCAGGAGAAAGAGAAAGGGTGAGAATAATCTACCCTGTCTGACACCGGTCTTCACCTGAGATGAGTCTGTCAACTGTCCTCCGTGCACGATTTTGCAGTTTCATTCATCATAAGAATTCCGTATGATATTAACTATCTTCTCAGGCACACTGTATTGTCGGAGAAGCCTCCATAACGTTGTTCTGTCCATGCTATCAAATACTTTCTCGTAGTCAATTAAGTTGATGTAGAGTAGTGAGTTCCATTCAATTGATTGTTCCACAATGATCCGTAATATTGTAATTTGGTCAGTACACGATTGAACCTTACGACATCCAGCCTGTCGATCACAAAGTTAGCTGGATATGTTTACTGACCATTTTAATCTACAAAATTTATCACTGTTGTGTGTAGATTTCAATATGATTTAAATCCAATCATATTTCAACATTTCATTGAATATTTCCTAGTAAATTTTATTTTGTTATTCCATTTTTCTAAAAAATATTTTCAATAGTCAATCATCAATTATGACAACTATATGTTAGAATTAAAATTAGCGCACATTTTAAATTAGTCGGTAATAATTTTTTCAAGTTATGTATTTTTTTTTTATTTTGAAAAATTTCAAATAAAATTTTCATTGAATTTTTGATATTAATTGGGAAATCAGTGAAAAGTTAAGTTTTGTAACTAATTTCCTAATCAGTTCATAAACAACATATAACCCATATCAGTACAATGAAATCAAATTATGCCAGCAAATACTGTGCATCAGAGTAGTTAGTCAGTCAGTTACGATGTAAAACTTCGGACGTACGTACATCAGTTCACGTTGCCATAGTGCATTAGCACAGAGATGCATCTGTCAGTTCAAATCCAAGAGTGATAGCGATAATAAAAGTATTAGCAGTAATGGAGAAGATTAGGGTTTCAGCATATTAATCAGGAAGTATGATTCAGTGAGATAACTTTAGAAAGAGAGAGCTGATGAGGAATTCAGAAGATTAGAATTTGACAGAACTCTAGGGATGAATGCACCTGCCCCATTCAAACAACTTTGAGCCATGTCATCCAGGGTATCTAACCATCGATTATTATCATCTCGCGGACCCCAACCAGGTAGTCGACATTTACCAGTATCACTCAACCCACTTGTCAGTGACTTCATGGATTTGTGTCATGTTTTAGTCTGGCCGCAGCTAACTTTCTTCCAGCCTACTCCTACACTACAAAACATAGCTCGTCGTGGCAGTCGGTGGTTAGCCATACGTAACACATGTCCCAACCACCTCAACTGAGGAAGTTTCACTACTTCATCTATTGATTTGCCAACCCTACCTAGAACTCGTTTCCTAGCGACAGCATTGCTTATACAGTTGTCGCAGGATACACGAGCAATGCTTCGGAGATATCGATGATCGTGTATATTAGTAATCTACGAACATCTACTCGCCGATGATGTGAGTAGACGGTTTATAACAATAATACTCATACTGCATAAGTGTAGATTTTATTGTTATCTACAATAATTCATTTCTATCTAGTTTCGCTGTAAATCAAGCCACCTTCTCTACGAATAGCTTACATATTCTATTGACTTAGAAAGTAAAACAAAATCTCCACCAATAACATTTGTCCATCAGCATTAATCATAATTGGACTATGAACAGATATTCCTGATTGGCTGAATTTGTTGAATTTTAACAATATTCACCAAGCTCCCTTGCCAATATGTCTCGAATTGTTCATGTACGTTCACCCTTAAAGAGTCGCATACTTGAATAAAAAAAACCGACTGTTCAATGCTTTTTGATTTAAAAAAAATGTTTATTCCATAATAATAAATTATTTTTTTTAAATTTTATTTTTTCATTTTATTTTTAAAACTTCGCCATCATCATCAGTTTATATGGATGTTCATTATATGGAACGGATTATTATCGACCACAGCAACAATCTCATCAACCAATCCAACAACAACAATCCCAGAAACAACAACAACAACAACAGCAACAACAACAATTATTGTCTGTTGCTATGGCTGCAATGACTAATCCAACAATACAAGGCTGTATTTATCCTACAACACCAGATTTACAAACTACATTCAATGCAACTTATCAGAATTTTTTTAGTCCACACAACAATAATAGTAATAATAGTAATAACAGCCAAATTAATAATAATTCAACAACTGATCCTTTAGGCAATTGTTTAACTGGTACATCAGAGAATATTGCTTTCAATGGTACTATATATGCTACAAATCATTCACAACAGTTATCATCCACTCCAATTCAAGGTTCAATGACACATATACCGGATACAATCAATGGTAGTCATCATCAACAACATCATTCTCGACCAGAGAATGGATTATATCAATGGTTAATACCGAGTCATTTATTGAAAACAACTAGTAATACTACTAACAACAATACTAGTAATAGTAATAGTAGTAATAGTAATAATAATGATTGTCATATGACAACAATACCAGCTTCACCGGCATTTTCATTAAATCCTACTAATAATCATTTAATTGGATTAGATAAAACTAATCGACATGTGCAAATGTTATTATAATTAACATGAAAGTGAGTCTGTTTTTGAATTATGAAGTTTTGAACGTTATTCAGTTAATTATTGAGAAACCATGAATTAATAATCAATGTCAGAGCAGGATTATTAAAAAGAAACCTGAAAGGATTTCACTGGATGACTGTTTCGTTCTGTTATGGGACTCATCAACAATGCGCATCCATAACTCATGACGAAATTATCTGTGTTCTAGTGTGGAGATATGTTCAGTGGAGTTCAACTCTGTCAGGTGTAGGCGGTAACTAACGAAGACAAAATCCTCAGATTTATCACAGTTAGACATTAATATTGAAATCATCAATCAATCAGTGTGAGATCGCCATTAGAAACCTGGAAGCACTTGAGGGCCGTTTCGTCCTAGTATGGGACTCCTCAGCGGTGCGCATCCACGACTCCTGCTACTCACAGGATTCGAACCCAGGACCTTTGGCATTGTAGGCGAACGCCTTACCATCGGACCACTGGGCCGGCATCCAACGGTGTTAATGTCTAACTCTGATTGATCTAGGGATTTTGCGTGACCTCACCCATTTGTCTTTGGCAGTTACTACTCACACCCAACAGAGCTTAACTCCAGTGGTCATGCGTTCTCACTTGAACTCCGAGAATTTCCTCACGAAGCTAGTCATTAGTGAGTACATTTTACAATTTTTCAGTTAGATTTACGGAGTTAGTGTTTGTTGCACACTGAAATCATCAATCAATCATTAACACTATTGGCTGCCGGCGTCAGAGCTGAGAACAACACATATAAGCGGGCAATATTGTTTTCGATTAGATTGTCATCAGGCTTTACTCTAATATACATGAATAATCAAATGAAAATGTTAGAGTTTAAGCATTCACTCTTGAGATCGAAGGTCCTGGGTTCGATTCTTGCGATACCGGGTATTGTGAATACACAATGCTGATAAGTTCCATATCAGGACAAAACGACCGTCCAGTGCTTCCATGTTTCTAATGATGGTCTAACATTGATCGATTCATGATTTAAAATTATTCTGTATCCAGTTTTTAAATTATGATGATGGATTGGGGGTCAGAACAAAGCCCTATCTGAAATCATCAATCAATGATTGTTAGATCGCCATTAAAAACCTGGAAGCACTGGACGGCCGTCTCGTCCTGGTATGGGACTCATCGGAGGCAGTGTGCATCCACGACTCCTGCACCTCGCAGGATTCGAACTTTGGACCTTCGGCATCGTACGCGACCGCCCAATCACCGGACCACTGGGCCGGCCGACATCCAACGGTGTTAATTTCTAACTCTTATTAATCTATGATTCGAATCCTGCGAGGTTCAGAAATCGTGGATGAGCACTGCTGATGAGTCCCATACCAGGACGAGATAGCCGCCTTTCAGTGCTTCTTCCAGGTTTCTAATGGTTGTCTAACAATGATTAATTGATGATTTCAAATGTGTAAAAACACAAATCTCCAAAACTCTAACTGAAGACTCTATCTGTTTACTCGTTTCTTTTTCATCCTAAATTCAAATTTTTACTGTAGAAATAATTCAAACAGTAGGTAAATTCCATATTGTCACGTGATTTAAAAATATCCTAGTCCGTAATAGCAATTATATTTTGGTTTATTTAGCCAGGAAATAGTTTTTATTCAAGAAAACTTTCCATTATTCATGTCTATCGTGAGTACTGTGGTGAAGTGTAGAAGTTTCGAGGCCAAAACTAAATCATTCTCCACTGTTATACGGATTAGTTCTAATGGAGTTTATTGCTAGCCAATAAATAATTCCTCTTATTTAGGTCAAATGCATACAATCCTCCCCACACACACATACTCCCCTTACAAACATACACACAAACAAGTTGTATATAAACACACACACATATAGACGTACGCGCACACACGCACGCTAATTTCTCAAATATTTCATATGGAAACTTTTCATTTGAAAACTCGAGTTTTTATTATATTTTCATTTTTCTTGTTACAAAAATAATGAACGACTGACTGTGCATTGGAATTCTTATTTCTTCATTTCAATTCTCAATTGCTTATTTCATTGATGGTGGGTGATAAGCAATGCACTGACGTGTACCCACACACACGCACACTTAAATATCGTAGGATATATGCACAGTCAGTTAGAAATAATTAATTGAAATAAACAGAGACATTTTAATATTGATAGTTTTATTAACTGGGGGTTGATTTACACACCATATTCGGTTTAGTCTCTGTTTCCCACATACACACACACGCACACGCACACACACACAGATGAGGAATGATTTCTGCTTAAATTTATTACCACTATGAACTCATTTATCATCAGAGTTGGTACAGGTTAAAATAATGGTTTCCATAAGGAAAAAAAAGTTTTTTTCATAAATCTTTCCCTAGATCTAGTAACAAAAATTGAACAACACATAGAGAATACATTTTTTTTCATTTCGAGTTAGGGAGATTAGTGTTTGTTGTACACTGAAATCATCAGTCAGTCTGTTATGCACGTGCGCAAACACGTCAACTTGATATGCTTGAACTATTACGAGTTTACCCTAAGTCGGAAAACGAGAGCGAGGATAGAGGATCCGGTGACACGACATGCTACTCTAATCCAAGCGTCCCGATCCCCATATTGAGTAAAACAAGAAGACTTGATATGAATTAGAACGTGTATTCTACAATCATCCAGAAAGTACGAGGTCCGAGTCCAGAAGAGAATCAGGATCCCGGACTAGGGATCTGGGTCCGGGTCACAAAACGTTACAGATAATGCGTATTTATACAGTTAGGTTGAATAGGAAATAACATTGAAGTCTATGATATTGACAGTTAAAAAGACCAATTGAAAACAACATTGAAGTACATGACATTGATATCTAGGACGACCATAATATTGACCGGTAGGAATTAACCAATAATTCTCTTAGGATATCTAATGAATATCCTAATACAGTCATTGTTAGACCATCATTAGAAAACTGGAAGCGCCGGACGTCCGTTTCGTCCTGGTATGGGACTCATCAGTGGAAGTGCGCATCTATGATTCTTGCACCTCATAGGATTCGAACCTAGGATCTTCGGTCTTGCGCGTAAATGCCTAACCTCTAGAAATTAGTTCCAACATTCACATTCGTCTAGTTTCGATCTTCTTGCATACATGTAGACAGAGCAGTCAAGTGTGCAAATACGCATATTTTATGTTTGCACACGTGCAGATGTACAAAATAGATAAGCATGTTTTTGTATGATGAAATTATCAATGGTAAACCAGAATTAGAAACCAGGAAGCACTGGAAGGTCGTTTCGTCTCAGCATGGGACTCATCAAAGCACGCATCAACGACTTTGCGATTTCAATGAAACTCTAGAATCTCCACAACTTTATTTTAAAAATTATCTTGTGCTTACTAGTGACTAGCTTCGTGAGAAAATTCTCGAAGTTCTAGTGAGAAGTCATGATCAATGGAGTTCAACCCTGTTCGAGTGTGAGGCAGTTACCCATTGATGAACTCGCACAATATCATGGATTGATTGGAGTTAGACATTCACAGTGTTGGATATCTGTTCAGTCGTTCAGATATTACGTGTTCTCACGCAGGACCAAGGGTCCTAGTTTTGATGTTTATTCAATGACTAAGTACTGATCGAATTCTATCGATAAGGCTGTAATGTGATAACTAGTATAAGTGACTCAACTAGGCACTCGTAGTATGTTGAGATATCACGCTAGATGACACTAATCACTAAGTTGTACAAATAATCTTAAAACTAATAGTTAGTGTACAAATCCTGCAAGTTGTGGATGCGCACTACCACTGATGAGTCCCATATTAGGACGAAATGGCCATCCAGTACTTTCAAGTTTCTAATGCTGGTCTAACAATGACTGATTCATGATTTCAGCAATAAATACATATTAACATATTGTCGAATAAATAATATATATATATATATATATATATATATATATATATAAAGCAGAAGCTTTATAGGAATCCGAACATTCAGCCCAAATTTATGTGTTTTAGAAGAAATTCATGACACCCATTAGCGTTAGAATTATTTTTCGTTGGTAATTTTCCAGCCTCTTTCTGTTTATATTCATTCTTCACTATCGTCTAATTAGTTACAAAGTACTTATGACGTAATTGTTATAGCATTTTGCGATGATGACCAATCCACATTTGACTGACTACTTCCAATGTATGAACTATTGACAAAAAACTTTTGTTATTTTTATGTTATTAATCTAACCACTACTAACAGTACATCTATCTGTCTTCCAACTATCAACTTGTACTTTTACCTCCAATGTGTGATGACGTAATCAATTTTGCTGTGATTATTGATTGGTTTAACATTTTCATATGAATGTTTATGTATCATAGAGAGAGTGAAGCCTGATGACGATTTAATTGAAAACAATAACACTGTGCACTTATATGTACTCTTCAAATAGCATTCCATCAACAGTGATAATTGTAACCAGCATGAAATTATTAATTATTACTTAATGAGTAATCAATAAGTTACTACGATCAACCATCACATTCATAAGAATGTTTTCAAAGATTGATTTAAATAATAAAAGTTAATTGTTGGTTTAAATACTTGCCATAAATGCCAATTTATACACACTTGCTTATTATTTCACATTAGTTATTTATTATACTAACATTTTAAAAGTAGTATAACTGTTTTGTAAAAAAATTATTTGCTGAAGCGTTTAATTAAGAAATCAGCCACCTTTTGAAATCATGAACTGATCAATATTGGATCA